CCCATTCTGCCAAGAAGCAGGAATATTGCATTCAAATCACCCCTGACAGATGGCCATCCAGCCTCTGCTTAAAAGCTTCCAAAGAAGGAGCCTCCACTGCACTCTGGGGCAGAGAGTTCCACTGCTGAACGGCTCTCACAGTCAGGAAGTTCTTCCTCATGTTCAGATGGAATCTCCTCTCTTGTAGTTTGAAGCCATTGCTCCCTTGCGTCCTAGTCTCCAGGGAGGCAGAAAACAACCTTGCTCCTTCGTCCTCCCTGTGGCTTCCTGTCACGTATTTATACATGGCTATCATGTCTCCTCTCAGCCTTCTCTTCTTCAGGCTAAACATGCCCAGCTCCTTAAGCCGCTCCTCATAGGGCTTGTTCTCCAGACCCTTGATCTGCTCCCTCCTCCCTGTGGCTTCCTGTCACGTATTTATACATGGCTATCATGTCTCCTCTCAGCCTTCTCTTCTGCAGGCCAAACATGCCCAGCTCCTTAAGCCGCTCCTCATAGGGCTTGTTCTCCAGACCCTTGATCATTTTAGTCGCCCTCCTCTGGACACATTCCAGCTTGTCAATATCTCTGTTGAACTTCATTTTGTTAGTTTTGGCCCATCCTGAGTGTCAGGAAAGCAGGGAAATCCATGCTGGAGGGAAAAGACACCCTTCACGAGTGGGATTTCATTCAAAGGAACTGCTGAAACCACAGTCGTCAACAACGACACGAAGGGAGTAAATTTGGAAACATCTGAAAAAAGTCACTCTGCGGCTGCACAATCATCTCTAGCAGGAAGTGGGGAAAAGAGCCTGCCCGAGGGATGAATCACCCAAGATGGATACAGGTGTGGAACTGAAGCGGAAAGGGATAATTTGTGGATGGTAAAGCTCAAAGGGACTGGTTGGGTTGGCTGAGACCGGTTCCACACGCAAGGAGCACACCCCCCCCCCGACCAATAATAATAACAACAACATCAATAATAATGATGATGATGATGATGATGATGTATTGTCGAAGGCTTTCATGGCCAGAATCACTGGGTTGTTGTAGGTTTTTTCGGGCTATATGGCCATGTTCTAGAGGCATTCTCTCCTGATGTTTCGCCTGCATCTATGGCAAGCATCCTCAGAGGTAGTGAGGTCTGTTGGAACTAGGAAAATGGGTTTATGTATCTGTGGAATGACCAGGGTGGGACAAAGGACTCTTGTCTGCTGGAGCTAGGTGTGAATGTTTCAACTGACCACCTTGATTAGCATTTGATGGCCTGGCAGTGCCTGGGGCAATCTTTTGTTGAGAGGTGATTAGATGTCCCTGATTGTTTCCTCTCTGATGTTTTGCTAAACAACCAGGCACATCTAATCACCTCTCAACAAAAGATTGCCCCAGCACTGCCAGGCCATCAAATGCTAATCAAGGTGGATGCTTGCCATAGATGCAGGCAAAATGTCAGGAGAGAATGCCTCTAGAACGTGACCATATAGCCCCAAAAAACCCAACAACAACCCAATAATAATAATAATAATAATAATAATAGTAATAATAATAATAATAATAATAATAATAATAGTATTCTTTATCCTGACGGAGAGAAGGCTGAGAGGAAGCATGATAGAATCATAGAATCCTAGAGTTGGAAGAGGCCTCGTGGGCCATCCATTCTGCCAAGAAGCAGGAATATTGCATTCAAAGCACCCCTGACAGATGGCCATCCAGCCTCTGTTTAAAAGCCTCCAAAGAAGGAGCCTCCACCACACTCCGGGGCAGAGAGTTCCACTGCTGAACGGCTCTCACAGTCAGGAAGTTCTTCCTCATGTTCAGATGGAATCTCCTCTCTTGTAGTTTGAACTCTGGGACTGTGAGAGCTGTTCAGCAGTGGAACTCTCTGCCCTGGAGTGTGTTGGAGGCTCCTCCTTTGGAGGCTTTAAACAGAGGCTGGATAGCCATCTGTCAGGGGTGCTTTGAATGCAATTTTCCTGCTTCTTGGCAGAATGGATGGCCCATGAGGTCTCTTCCAAATCTATGAGTCTATATCTTACCGGCCTCTCTCTCCTCGCGTCTGGAGGCAGGCTGCAGAATAATTAAAACACATAGACATTGCAAAAATACCAAAAATACATGTATTTTTATATAATACACATTAAATTAAATCAAAGGCACAAATTTAAAATATATGTTTAAGGACCGACTGTTAGGAATTGTGGGAGTTGAACACCTGGAGGGCCGAAGTTTGCCCATGCCTATTGAAGACTGTCTGGGTTTGGCCTGCCGGCAGAATCATAGCATCATAGAACCCTGGAGTTGGAAGAGACCTGGTGGGCCATCATCCAGCCCAACCCCATACTGCCAAGAAGCAGGGAAATCACATTCAAAGCACCCCTGACAGATGGCCACCCAGCCTCTGCTTCGAAGCCTCCAAAGAAGGAGCCTCCACCACACTCTGGGGCAGAGAGTTCCACTGCTGAACATATAATCCTAGACTTGGAAGAGACCTCCTGGGCCATCATTCAGTCCAACCACATTCTGCCAAGAAGCAGGAATATTGCATTCAAAGCACCCCCGAGAGATGGCCACCCAGCCTCTATTTCAAAGCTTTCAAAGAAGGAGCCTCTACCACACTCCGGGGCAGAGAGTTTCACTGCTGAACAGCTCTCTCTCACACACAGCCAGGAAGTTCTTCCTCATGTTCAGGTGGAATCTCCTCTCTTGTAGTTTGAAGCCAGGGCTTCATTGTGTCCTAGTCTGTTCTGTCTAATTATGATTTATGTTTAATTGTGGTTTTATTATTGTAATTGTTATGGATTGGCATCACGTCAGTGTCCAATGTAAGGCCTTGGGTTTTGCCAGCTAGGTGTAAACCGCTTTGAGTCCCCCTAGGGGTGAGAAAAGTGGTATATAAATACTGCAAATAATAATAATAATAATAATAATAATAAAAATAAATAATAATAATAATAGCAGCAGAAAGGAACCCTCCTCCCTAGGCCTTCCCTCACATATTTATACATGGCCCTCATCCTGTCTCCTCTCTGCCTTCTCTTCTGCAGGCTCAACATGCCCAGCTCTTTAAGCTGCTCCTCATAGGGCTTGTTCTCCAGACCCTTGATCTGCTCCCTCCTCCCTATGACTTCCCCTCACATACTTA